GACGGCACTATCAAGAAGGCTTACACCCATTTGTCGGATATAAGTTCTATTGCACGGCATTTAAAGACACATTATTGTCTACCTTAACAATACAAGAAAATACTTGTTGACAACACCAATATACTACACCATGAAAATATTAAACAGAAATTTCAAATTCTCAAGACATTCTGCATCAAAAGCAACCAACCAACACTGAACACAATTTATTACGAGTGTAGTAGAAATATTTTAAAATGCATTTGACCAACATTTAATGCCAATATGCATTTTAACCATCTGTGGTTATCTCCCTTGCATACTGGACTCTTGTTTACAAAAACAACATAGATACAATGGACACATTTAAAAATTTAGAATAATTATAACAGAGCGCGTTGACGCGTGTTTACAAAAATCAAAAGGATCACGCTTATATTAAGTTTGACTTCGCGTTTCACTCTTGAGGATGATCTCGGAGGAGATCGAAAGTACTTTGGTTAAGAAAAACTACGGCGCCTTCCTTGATGAATTTGAACTTCGCATCAAGAAGTTAGTTAGAAAACAGTTAGTTATAAAAATAAATAGATATAATATGTCTATATATACAATGAAACATGCTTGAATGAAGATATGCCACCTGAATATGTTGCAGTTTTTGGGGTATTATGTACTAGTGAGTTAGCCCAAATGACTTGACTCACTTTATAATCCACCAATAGAAGGTTAACCAATCAGAAAACGTAGAATATTCAATCCGCCGTGTATAAAGTCAGCCATTTTGTTTACTCTATCCGAATGTCCAGTGCCAGCTTGTCAGGCGAAGAGGAACAGAAGGAAGAACTGCTACTTTACCGGGATATCAACTGCTAACCTGAACTACGCTTCCCTACTGTCTTCGAAATATTCACTGCTAACCTCTGGATTCTATATTCAAAGACGACCATCATCATGAACAACAGAATTTACATATTTTAAATGAGTAAATACAAAACACTTCAAGTACCTCGGTGTATAAGTTATAGCAAATTTAGTAGAAAAAGTAAGGACGTTGAACAAGTAAACAAATAGTTTGAGGCCTTCTTCTTCTTCTTCTTCTTCTTCTTCTTCTTCTTTATCTCTCACTCTTTCTCTATATTGGTCTATCGTATAAATTTTATGAAATAATATATGTGTGTTCATGAGTGTAAATAGTAGGAAAACATCATGACTGGATGTCGTGAGGGTTATCTAAAAACATTATGACGATATTAATAGGCTGCACTAGAGTTTGAACTGTAAAATGATGAGACCTTGCCTTGGTGTATGGATCAATTATAACAAATTTAGTAGAGAAGATAAGGACATTGAACATAGAATAGGCTACGCTAGAGGTACTTTCGTCCAACTACAAAACCAAAAACGTTATATTGATAATTCTAGTCAGATTTTTAAATAGCTTCGTCAGATCAAAACTTTCATATATACTTGTTATACACGGCGCCAAACCTATTCAGAAATATATAAAATTTCAGCTGTCTGAAAACGCTTTCTGAAATCAATACTTCAAAATGATTTGAGTGAGTGAAGCCAGTTAGTCATGGTAAAGGTCATCTGTCTTCGAACATCGTGAACTGGCACTACAGAACTATAGCTGATAAGAGATCACCTGAGGACTTTCAACAGCAGCAAGAGCTAAAATGGATGCTACATGTAACTGGAAGAAATAAAAGCTAAGGAAGAAAACGCCCATGAATACTTGAAAAAGTAATAACAGGCACTTGACTTGAGGAACCCATTTTACAGAAAAATTGTTTTAAGAAAAAAGATTTTATAAATTCCAACCGAAAGCAGCAGCGGCTGATTGGTCAATGAATGTCGAATATTTGCTCATAAGCGAGCGGCTAATATTATCATTAACATTATCTTTCTTTTTATGTGTCATGTCCTTTCAAGATCTTTCAAGATCATGGCTCTCCACCTTTCTCTATCCCTTGCAGCTCTCAACAAGTTCCTTCTCTCTGCTTCCTACCCCAGACCATATTCTGTCATCCACTTGCTTAAGTCCGCCAGGTATGTGACGTGTTGTATTCCCTTGTCTTTCTTTCCCTCTATTCGACCTGTGAGTACCAGATTCTCTAGGCACTTCTTCCTCATTATGTGCCCCAGAACCTTCAGCTGCCTCTTCCTGATATTAAGTATAAGCCTCCTCCTTCTTTGCAACCTATCTAAGACCTCATCGTTGCTCACACGCTCGGTTTATGATATCCTTAGCATCCTTCTGTAGAACCACATCTCCGTCGCCTCGAGTCTCTTCTTCATCTTTGAGGAAATCCTCCAACATTCGCTGCCGTAAAGAAGGACAGATGTCATGTAACATTTGAGCATTCTTTTCTTTGTTACCAAGGAAATCCTTCTGTTTCGCAATACTCTGTACAGCTTTTGGATTGTATCCTTGGCCATCCCAATACATCTACGGATCTCAGTGTCGTACTTACCATTATCATTAGAATATAACAAAAGAACAGTGATAGCCATTGTTTCAGAGTGTTGAGCATAACAGTGTTTGGATGGATATCTGTTGCGATAATATGTAAAACGAATGGCGTCAGGAAAAGTCAGCCGATATGAAGCCTTCCTAAAAACGGGCCTATTATGACTATTTACCTTAATTGATTGATAGATAAGCCAAAGAGTAGACAAAAAGATTAATAAGCAGCGAGTAAAAGTATTTTTTCTCGGTAGCTAGAAAATTATATTAGTAGACAAATTGGCAGGTGAATAGATAGATGAATGGATAGGCAGGTTGGAAAACAGGTAGGTAGAAGGGAGACTGAATCAAGACTGGTTTAGGTGATAAAAAGATAGAATGATATGACTATGAGGGGTGCTGAAAAGACATTGACCTGGCATATTTTCCTGAACACATATTTATTTGTCGAAATCTTGTTGGTCTTTTTCCGCATCCCATAGTGTATATATACAATACTGGAAAATATATACAATACATAAATATATAAAATGCAATAATATATATATATATATATATATATATATATATAATATTAATACAATAATGTATGCAATACAAAATATTTACAATACAGGAAATACAGGAAAATACTTGTTGACAACTCCACTATACTCCACCATGAAAATAATAAACAAAAACTTCAAATTCTCGAGGCCGCCTATATCAAAAGCAACCAACCAACACTGAACACAATTTATTACGAGTGTAGCAGCGATGTTTTGAAATGCATTTGAGTTAACTAACATTTAGCACCATGTTGCATACTATAATCTCTGCTTGCCCCCTTGCATTGTGAACACTTGTTTACAAAGCTTCGTAACCACAACGGTTAATTTTAAAATAATTACAATAAAGCATGTTCACGCGTGTTTACAAAAATCACCATCATAACGATTAAAGTTACATTGTTTGTTTTCACAATTCCCTCCTGAGGATGATCTCGGAGAAGATCGAAAGTTCTTGAGTTAACAACAAATATAGCAGCTTCCTTGATTAATTTGATAATTAAAGAACTAGAAACCAACGCAGGTGCGTTGCGTGCACGCACCAGTCATAGCACGAGCAGCGGCGAGGAAACATGGTGAAGTCGAAGCAGCTTGTTCGGGGTTATCTGCTTTATGACTTTAAGGTGGTCTTGTCCACATCAAGTCACCGAATATCTCAGGCCTTTGGGGCTAATGCTGCAAGTGAACGTGCCACCAGTCACTTGTAGCAGAAATTCAGGTCGGAAGATCTGTCCTTTTGAGATGAACCCCGCTGTAGTTGGCCACAGCTCTTAGATAATGAGCCCTTGAAGGCGATCATACAGGAGGAGAACAGCCAAATATGTGATGAGCTTGCCGAATGCTTCTTATGAAACAGACTTCACCTGCATGTTATAAGGAAGGTGTACAGATTGAGTTACCGCACACAGTGCCCGAACAAAGAGCGACATCCTGTTTCTCGTTGCTTTTTCATCCCGGCAAGGTATCCATATTTGACTGAGTGCTCACCAGTGACGAATAACGTGTCTTGTACGAGATTATCAAGCGTGCCAGACTTTGGTTGTCACCACGGGACTATGTGCTTCAGACCACAAAACCACTTCTGCATCCAAGCAACATCATGTTCTGTATCTGGTGGATTAGAACACAAGTGGTACATGATGAGTTGCTACAAACGGGCATGTATGCGCAGTACTTGGAACATGTGCAATAGGAAGTGAAGCAGAACGAACCAGTATTGGTTACTAGCAAGGAAGTACATTTCCACCAAGCCAACACCAAGCATCATGTGGCGCGGTGATCAGGAATACCGTATAGCGATTTTATTGGAAGACACTGTGCTGATCCACCTGACGCCCCTGACATTGCACAAATACATTAACAACTCTTCATTCCCTGGACGAGGTTCTTCGTTGGAAATCCTTCGCAAATGAGTCAGACTTACGACCGTCAAAGACTTCTTTGCGTTCAAGAGACCTGATTTTTACCGCCAAAGCATTGCAAAGCTGGAGGTACGTAGACAAAAGTTTCTGGGTATTTTTGAGGTTAACCGTATAACCAATTTCTTGTATATCTTTTTTTTAAAAATAAATTATAAACAGCAAGTACTTGGTTACCATGTAGAATTGCTTCTAGAATTTTGGGTCTGTCTTTGCTGTGTGTTCTATCTATCTTCGTATTATCTACTAAAATTTGTCTCAAATTAATAGCTGTATTTTTGTTATATATATATGTGTGTCTGTGTATAAAAGGATTAAATGATTAAAGCAATGTAATGTACACATGTTTATCTACAAATTTATTAATAAGTTAAGAATATATATATATATATATATATATATATATATATATATATATATATATATATATATATATATATATATATATTCTTGACTGGAAAAACGTACTTTGAAGGAATCCGATTAAAAAACGATGTAAAATATCGATTGAAGGTTGAATACACAGTTTAGAATAAATATAATTCTTAACAAGCTTGAGAAAAAAAATTACTTTCTGAACCTGAGATGAACGGGTCTCTTTATAGTGGATTCGATGCGATATTTTTGCATCATTTTGATGATACAACCATTAAAACTGCACCAGCCTTGTGCAAAGTTTATAGAAAAATCTAGCGTAAAATAGCAGATATTGAAAAATTGGGATTTTTTCGTTCATAATTGGATTTTGTATCCATCTCAGTGCATTCCTATCTTTCTATCTATGTTATTTTTATTATCTCTCAAGCTATGTTGTTTTCCTTATCTATCTATCTATCTATCTATCTATCTATCTAATTCTGTTCGTATCTATCTATCTATCTATCTATCTATCTATCTATCTATCTATCTGTCACAGCCGTCTCATATCTATTTCTTTATGTTCATATCTATCTATCTATCTATCTATCTATCTATCTATCTATCTATCTATCTATCTATCACAGCCGCCTCGTATCTATCTATCTATCTATCTATCTATCTATCTATCTATTCATCTATCTATCTATCGCAGCCGCCTTGTATCTATTTAATTATGTTCATTATTATCTATCTATCTATCTATCTATCTATATCATCTATCTATCTATCTGTCACAGCCGTCTCATATCTATTTCTTTATGTTCATATTCATATCTATCTATCTATCTATCTATCTATCTATCTATCTATCTATCACATCTATCTATCTATCACAGCCGCCTCGTATCTATCTATCTATCACAGCCGCCTCGTATCTATCTATCTATCTATCTATCTATCTATCTATCTATCGCAGCCGCCTCGTATCTATTTAATTATGTTCATATCTATCTATCTATCTATCTATCTATCTATCTATCTATCTATGCAAACTACAGAAGATGTGTGAGCCTAATAGTGCCGTTGATTCGAGCAGCTTTTCATCTACAAACATAATTCTTCCACATTGTCACCGCCATTTATTATCTCTGTTGCTATTGCTGAAAGATATCATCGACCACACAACTGCGCTCACATGCATTGGTTGGTTTCCGTAAATGTTCGACAAAGTTCAATAAATGTTAGTTATTGCAATCTCTTTTTGAATTGAGATAAAACAGACAAACATCTGCCCTTCGAAAGCACCCCTATGTCAGACGTCATTCTTCCAGGCTGGCAGAAAGTGTTACTACTATTTATCGGCATGAGAAGCAGTATTCCCAGTTTTCTCATGTCTATCTATCTATCTATCTATCTATCTTGATATATCTACTTATGTTCTATAAATAACAATATTTAAAGGAAAAAAAAAGCAGTGTAAAAGAAATCTTAAATCATCTTTAATCGAAAGCTCAGTATTTCAAATCTCTATTTTTAACCTCTTTGTTCCTTCTCAAGATGTTCATTAACTATCCTTTTTTTTAAAAAAAATTAATTCAATCCAAGCAAGGCGATAATGCCACTAAGAGACAAGGGGTCCACTGGGAGTGAAAGAGAACGAGAAGAATTTAGAAGGAACCGGAAACCTAATCCTAATCAGGAAACAAAGGATAAACCTCTGCTTCTGTTAGAAATACTGGGGAGGAGTTTGAATCTTCCGGTTCACACTATCTATCTATCTATCTATCTATCTATCTATCTATCTAGTTAGATAGCTAGGTGGGTATGTTTTTGTTTTTCCTTGCCTTGTGGCTATACCTATTTTTCAAGAAAAGGAATTTTGCTGATTGAAAGATGCCGGCCCAATGTTTACTATTGTCTGTCGTTTTATGTTGTTGATTCTATCCATTGTATGGGAACAGCTGACTCAGTTAACCAGTAAGAATAGAAAATTGATCGTACAACATCGAACCGAACGACACTATTGTTATATGAGATATTGTCCGATAAAGGTGTCTTTGTATGAGGTTCCAATGGCTCCAGGATATATACGTGCATATGTATGTGTATGTGCGGACTTGTGAATGTATATGTTTGTATGTGTACCAAGAGAGAAAGAGAGAGAGAAAGAGAGATAAAGAGAGAGAGGTGGTGAAGATAAATAGATGGAAAAATGCATTCTATCTACTGTATTCATTTATCTACTTATCTACCTGTTCAAATAAAGCGAGCTAATATTTGCGTATTTTATATCGTCTGCGGCCAGTGTTCGAATCACGTTAAAACTCGTGAATTCGAATGCTTATTTTTCCGCTCAAATGTAACATCCCCATTTACAAATTTTCTTCCAAGCAGCAACAGAGTAAGCAGCAGGCAGGCATGAAGAATATTTGGTTAAACGGCTTCAAATTAAAGTATCAGCATCTACGAGACTATTTTCCCATAGGGCAATAACGAACCATATTAAAGCGCTTGTTCGTGAATTTGATTGTATAGTAACCGTGAGATCAATCCCTGGGTTTGATAATACTATTCTAAATTTCAAACAATGGAGACAACAGTAGGAAATCAATTCACTATCTTTCTCCATAAGTCATGGCAATTCACAGATAATAATGGAAAAAGAAATGATGGATAGCCATTATTGTCTATGTCCTGAATGGACATGCCATTTTTTTTAAATAATAAAGTCACATGTCTATCTTGTCAGTATATGTATATTCATATCTATATAATAATTTAAAGTTCTGATGAGTAATCTCAATCCCTTGAAGTGGCAGTAAAGAAGCTCAAGCGTAGCAGCAGACAGGCAATATGAATATTAGGTTTAAGGCTCCACGTTCTAGGTTCAAGATTATCCCAAGTGGTAATAGCTAAGTAGATTAAAGCATTGGTTCATGAATTTGATGACATAGTAATTGTGTGTTCAATCCCTGGGCCGGGTAGTACAGACACTGAGTCAGTAGAAACAGTGTAAGTAATAACTGAGCCGTACAAACAAAAAGGAGATATCCCTAGATATGGACAACAGAATGGGAACAATCTACCTTTATGGGTTAAATAAAGGGTTCAATTCTCTGAAGGCCATCCAAATCGACAGACACACGAAGAAGACCAAAATTTAAAATAGCTGGAAAATTCGTCTCAAAATCTCCGAGTTCAAGTTGTTCTTAAATTACAGCCATATTTCACGTATTTTTCTCTTTCGAGTATCACTCCAGATAGTTTTTTTCGGACGAGTTTGATTTTTGAAATAGTAAGTGATCGATGTTGTCCACGTTAGTCCTTGATTGTTGTTTTTCACGTTTGTTTCTGTTTGTTTTTGTCACCGTCAGCTGAACTTTTTTTGTTATTATTGGACTTTTCCGCCAGTATAGCGGAAACTTCTCAGCAACGGGGTCCTATACCCACAGCAGCAATCCTATTAGTATGGTCGGTGGATATCCCAAAACAGAAAAGGCCAGAATACGATAACAGCCTCAAAGAGCAGTATGAAAAATTCATTTCAGAAAGAAAAAAACCTTTAGAAGTTCCATCGGTTGTAAAGGCAATCAACGCAAAGAATCATCTCCATGCTGACAACAGACGTAAAGTCAGTAGGGAGATAATGTAGGAGGCCCTAAAAAGTGTCAATATTGGAGCCAAAGTATTGACCCATTTGACTAATGCCATGTAGAAGATCCTGTTGTGACAGAGGAAGCAGCGCAGTCTCTGGCCGGGAACATCCTCATTACCAAATCGGTAAGGTTACAGACTGAATACATCAGCACCACAAAGAACCGGATCAACTTACACGGGGTGCCCGAGTACATTACCGAGGACAATTTGGGGGTGTTTTCGCCAATTATGGACAGTTCGGCGATGTCTCGTCACTGAAGAGCAAAGCGGACATTGCCACCGGCGATTTTGTTGTGATGGTGACAATGACAAGAAAAATTTTTTTAGACATCCCTGACGTGCTTACATGTGGCGGCTGTGAACGTCGAAGGCCCCCGACTCCACTTCTGGTCCTGTATCGTGAGGAGAGGAACCAAAAGTCACAATCTCTCCTGTTCCGCACAAGAAGGCTGCATCACTAATGAAGCCGGCCAAAAAAAAGTAGCAACAACAGCGACAGCAGGAACCGCCGGAACATATCAAGCAACAACATCAGCAACAACACGAGCAGCATCAGCAGCACCAACAGGGGCAATCGCAAGAGCAGGTGCTCTAGAAACAGCAACAGGAGCAACAACTGCAGGAGAAAGAGGTGTTGCTCCAACTGGACTTATATATGGGGGTGGAGGAAATGCATCCACCTAGGTCCTCCTCTTTAAAAAGGGGGAGGGGGAAAGAAGAGGAGGAGGAAGAAAAAATTACCAAAAAAAAAAGCGGACAGGACGAAGCAGGTCGGAGAAGGGCATGGAGAAAGCCAAGACCCACTCTGCCTCTGCTTTGCCATCAAGAACGAAACACACCAGCCAAAGTAAGAAAAGGAGCCTGCCTTAGTCTCCTTCGAGGGCTCCATCTACTCCTTTCAACCCTTTCCCACAAAGAACAAGGGCCTCCCCGAGGTGGGGGACATGTGTCACGTAAATAATTAGGCCTTTGAAAGGGAACTTTCCTCTCAGAAGTTGGCCATTATTTAGATTAACCGTCGTTGACGAGAAGTCAACGGAAGACCCCGCAAATTTCCCGGACGTTCCAGGAGTAATTAACCTTATTCGGCACTCAGGCGACAGGTTGTGAGTGTGAGACTTCATAGTTGCCGCCAAAGAAACATTCATGAAAATTTAAAATGGGGACGTTAGACTGGCCAGAACTTAAAAAAATGCCTAAATTATGTGCAGGGAAGGTATCGATTCTTCTTCACCCGTCACTATATAGTGCTTTAAAATTAACATTTCCGAGGGACGTCGACGTTATTGTATTGGATGGACGAATTACATCGGAGATGAACATGGGGAGTCTGGGACAATCCGTCGTAGCCCATCGATCCGCATATTTTCATCCAGTCTGCGTTTAAAGTGCGATCGGGAAAAATGGATATCAAACTGGCGATCCAGGAGACACATTTTGTTTCCTCGTAAACTGTCTAGCAACTTTCTTGTCTATTCAGCATACGGGGAAAAAGCGGTTAAGAGGCGTTTCTTTGCTGTTTAAACGTACTGTGAGTGCGAGGGTGGACCTTGTCAATGTCTATGTGAGGGTGATGGTGGTTGATACTATTGCGAACAGTAGGTCGTTTCGGATCGTTGCGGTTTATGTGATCATCGACCAGACGGAGAGTGTCTCTTTTTCTGTTAGTAGAAGCCGTTCCTGGTGGATTTGTCGCGATTAGTATTAATGGGGGACTGGAATGATGTCCTGGACCCCACTATAGACCTTGAGTGGGAAGCTAGCTGGAAGGCAGGTAATCCTAGCTTCATTGATGCGGTGGGCAAATTTGATCTCTTCTATAGATACCAGGTCGATCAACCAATGCGGGAGATGTGGATGTGGGAACTTAAGTGACCATATACCCAGGTAGCCAGCTACCTTGATATAAAGTTGGTGAGGTGTTGGTTGTGTTGTTAAGGTCCGAACATTTCAGAGCAACCTGCGTCTGATTCACACAATCAAAGACGACGATAGAGCCACGCTGATCAATTTGGATGGTCAACGCTTTTGAACGCCTTGGACAGATTCAAATTGATCAGCGGGTCCAAAAAGCTGATCTACTTGGAGAAGTCGGGTTTGAATTTGGCAGTCATGCAAGGCCGCCAGATTCAAACCCGACTTCTGCAAGTAGATCAGCTTCCTGTATCGTCCCTCCCCCAGTGCTATGAACGGAAAGTGATCGAGTGCTTTTGCGTTGTCTTGGTCGGTGCGTCAAAGTTGTCCACTGTCGCCCTTACTTTACGCATTGGTGTTGAAGCTCCTCTGTCACCGGCTAAAGGACAGCTAAGTGGAATCGCTGGCCCGGTATTGTTCGAGCCAGTGTTTCCGTGTAGGCCAATGAACTATCCATTTTCGTTTTGTGCCGCTTGTGGTACAGAAAGCGCTTGAACGGTACGGGAAGGTCACAGGTGCCAAGACAAACCGCAACAAGGCTTCTGATTTGCAGTTAGGTGCTTGGAAGTGCCTCACTCTTCCAGGGGCTTCTAGTTGGACTGAAGGACTCATCCGCATTCTTAAAGTGTGGTTTGGGCCCGGGCTCCAGCTAAAGAAGAATTGGTCGGAGCTACAGGCAAAGCTAGGAGTGACGGCCCGGGCTTGTCTCCGAAGGCGGTTTTCCTCAAAGGGTAAGGCTGAGGCGTGTGTCATGTATCTATTTCCTCTCATCTTTTACTGGTTGTTTGTACTCCCGCTTAGCAGGAGCCGTAAGAAAGCATTGATCTACTCTTTCTTGTGGGATGGTGACAAGCATCAGGTTTGCAGCAGTCTCTCTAGCTTCTGTATCATGGGGTCTTGGAATGCCGCACTTGGCTAGTCATCGACACGCCTCGAGGCTGGTTTTTCCATGCCGTGCGTTGGCAGAAGATTCTATATGGAGCGGAGTTGAATGGACGCCTTACTTAGCCTTATAATGAATCTTCCCGTTCTAGGATTGAGCGCCGTCGTAATCCCCACAAACGGTCGAGATTCCGCAAAAGGTCATTCCTTGGTCCAGTAGGAGCACTAAGTGGGCGGGTCAGCTTGTCGGCGACCAAGTTGCGGCCGTTCTGGTCTTGGACGCCAGTGGTGAGTTACCTCGACAACCCTGAGTTTTCGCTTACTTGTCTCAATGATATATTCTTCAGAGGGCC